GGGCGGTAGTAAACTTTGCAAACTTTCCCACGGAGGCGGAAGGTGGAGTTCCCTCTGGAGCCACGATCCCCATGAGTGGTGGCCGAAATGGGCGACGCCGCCATGCGGACAATTCCACTGACGCTGTATGTGGAGCCCCCTTCTGGTCCACAACGTGACGGGTGCGCCGAAATTGACGTCGGCGAAATGCGGGTCCTCCCACTACTAAGGCCGTATGGCCGTATGTGCAGTTTCCTATGATGCCACGACACATGTGAAGGGATATGCCGAAATTGGGCAGCGGCGGTGACATACGAACGCTCTAACTGCGGCCGTAAGTGGAGCTCCTCATGGGGTCACCAGTCGTGTCACGCGGAAGGAAGGGGCAGGATGACGGGGAGGAGAGGGAAGAGGAGGCAGGGTGGGGTGGGGCGCTGCTGATGCACAAAACGGAGACCCAACATACAGGGGGGGGTCTGGACCCCGCACCTCGGAGCGCGAGGGGACGCCCCGCGTCGCCCAGGCGCTGGCCACGGAGCGGGAGCTGTGGCCTGGCCCCCCTCACGTGGGTTGGGCGAGGAGGGCAGAAAGTGAGAAGGGGCAGGCCATGGGATTGCATCTCCGAGCCTATACGGCTACGAAAAGCAAAACCACTGCCGCGGAACGAAACGTCCCCAAACGCTATCGCCCGGAAGGCTTCAAAGGACACCGCCAAATCACGTTCCCGGAAAGGCTTCTGGGAACATGATTGGCGGGGGCCCAAGAGACCCCGACCCGGGACAGGCCAAAACGAGGGCCAGGAGACCCTGAAAACCATGAAACATGAAAACCATGAAACATGTGACCCCCCCCAAACGGTGTACAGGGGGGGTACCCAGTACACCGAGGGCGGGAGGGTTGGTGACCCATTTTGGTAATTTGCTGGGGTGGCTGGGGCCCCCGCCTCTGGAGCCCCAGGGTTTCCAAGAAGTTTCCCGTCTTCAGAATATTCTGAGAAAACCGCCACCCCTCGCACCTACACAACCCCGAGCGCGAAGCCGAGGAGAGCTACGCACCCTTCCTATGGATTATTTCCCAAACAATGCTTGCCCTTAGGGGTTCTTACTCCGCTTGCTCGAAACATTGGATGGGAGTCCCATGCCTTCGCCACGATCTCGCCCGTGCCCGCTCGTGGGCGCCTCGCAGACGCCTCTCGCTGGGGGGGTCCCGAGGCCTCGCCACGATCGCGCCCGTGCCCGCTGCGCTCGTGGGCGCCTCGTTGGCGCTCCGCGCGCTGGGTGGACTTCCCAAAAGGTTCCCCGCCCCTGTCCTGGAAGGGTTTCCAGAGGCCTCGCCACGGTCGCGCCCGTGCCCGCTCGTGGGCGCCTCGAGGGCGCAAGACTCACACCTCGTGGCTTACACACAATATCACATGGATGTTACCGCAGAGCTTGCACGGCACAGCATTCACCACATCCCTTACACAGCATAGCTCACACGGTAAAGCTTTCACCTCCGCGGTGCACTACCTCACCGTGTGGGGTCCACGCTGGCTAGCATCAAGCAAAACAGAAATCACTCATAAGACGCATAGGGTTTTGGAGCTGCGTGCGGATCTCGTGGATCGGAACTAGATGGTGCGCCAGGGGCAGCGCTGGAGGCGCTGCCCAGGGGGTCCAGCGCCGATGCAGAAAATCCGCGCGGAGATCATGCTTGTGCCGATGCTTCTTCTGCGATATCCCTGGGGTGTGAAATCGATGCCCGATTGGATGCTCCGTCTATCGGGGATCTACTGACCCAGGTCAATCTAAGATCCTGCAAGATCCTGCAAAATCCTGCCAGATCCTGCAGGATCCTGCACCCAAGCCCGGGTCGGTGCACCCCTGGCTCTGCAGGATCCTGCAAGATCCGGCGCTCTGGCGAAGCCCCGCTCGCACCGACCCCCGCCCCTTGAGCCCCGATTCTGTACGGTGCATTTCCAAACCTGGGCCCAGGCACCGCACCCCGGCCCACAACCAAAACCTGTGTTCACCCGAGCGCCCAGCCTCGCCCCCAGCAGGCCCGCCGCGAGCGCGCCGGCGCCCGTGCCCGCGGCCCTGCGCGTCCTCGGCGCCCGCTCTTGGATGCACCCGCGCGGTCGGCAGAAGGGGTGGCAGGAGGAGGGAGGACCGGGGAGGACAGAAGGGATGAGGACTGGGCTTGAAACGTCGAGAGGGCATGATGACCAACAGCAGCCGAGTCACATCTGCAACGGGCGTGCAGCAAGCTGCACGGCCAGCGCGTGTGATGATCACGTAAGTGCACGAGTCAGGCAAAACTAATCGAAGCAGCAGTGCAGCTGGTTGGCGCCCACACAGATCTTACCAGTACGTACAACGATGCAGACATTGACAATGCGAGGGCGAGAGGAGAGGCAGGAGGAGAGATGAGGAAAACACGTGCCGAACATGTGACTTTGCAGCCACTCGGCTCCGTCCAAAACCCAAGGACTTCGCAGAAAAAACAGCCAAGAAGCTTCGAACGCGTATAAGACCCGTAGCGGATCCGTACCCGGATCCGACGCCCGAGGCGACGCCGACACGCCCCAAAGGGGACCCGCGCCACCGTCTACAGGGGTTCCTACATGCATCTTCTGGCGCCCCACGCTGTGCCCATCGCCCGCGACCTGCCGCCAAACCCCATTTCCGTGGCATTGCTGGATTAACGGTCTTAGACCTTCATGCGATTTGAATCTTCGGGCCGAATTCACAAATCGTACCGACCTACCTGACTGTCTCTTACAGACAGTCAGGTAAGATGTGTACGACTTGCCTGAACTGGACGCGTGACTGAATCTCCAGACGGCGCACGTTCGCGAGCGCGCCCTGGTGCGCTCAGGAGCTCCCGCAGGCTCGGCGAAGATGAAAGCGACGACAGCGGCGGCGGCGACCGCGACAGACCACGAGCGGGGCGGCGGCGGCGAAGGCGACAACGACGACGACGACGACGGCGACGTCGGCGGTTGCAGTGGCGAGGGACGACGACGACGCCGGCGACGGCGAGGTCCAGTGATCAGAACGCGCGACAATCCAAACGTCGGACCCAAAGGAGCAGATCCGTAAAATGTTAAAGGAGCCGCACAAAGAAAACTATAGCAAGAAAGCCTCCGTAAAATTGTAGAAGGCGCCTAGCTTCGTGCCCTGGGCGGGTCGTCTTCTGATTCTATGCAATGGTAAGACAGGATTCGTGCGAAACACATGACTTTTGTCGCCATGCGGACCTGTCCAAAAACCAACGACATCGCACAAAATCCGCCCAAGAGCATTCGGACCCGCACAAGATCCGTGGCGGATCCGTACTCGGATCCGACGCCCGAGGCGACGCTGACACGCCCGAAAAGGGATCCGCGTCGTCGTCTACGAGGTCTCTTGCATGCGTCTTCCGGCGATCCACGCTGCGTCAATCGACCGCGACCTGCCGCAGCGAAAATGAAGACGACAACGGCGGCAGCGGCGACCGCGACAAACCACGAGCGGGCCGGCGGCGGCGAAGGCGACGACGACGACGACGGCGACGTCGGTGACGGCGACGGCGACAGCGGTTGCGGCGGCGAGGATGACGACGACGACGACGCAAGCGACGGCGAGGTCCAATGATCAGAACGCGTGACGGTCCAAACGTCGGAACCAAGAGGGGCAACTCAGTAAAATTGCTGCCCTTCCTCCGCCGACCCTGTCGGCGTGTGTGAAGAGCTTTCCCGTTCGAGTCGGGTTTATCCGTTCGGGTCGTCGTTTTCGTCGTCCTCCGTTCCATTTCCCTGGGCCTTCCATCTCAAGCGCACCATCCAAAGCGAACTTGAGCAACGTCGGAATGGAGTCGAAGGGGAGCCCTTTCCCTTTTATCCCTTCCCCAGTCCTGGAGGGGGTCCCTGGAGGGGTCCCCACCCAAATACGCTTCCCCCCCGCGCGGTCCCGGAAACCTGAAAAAGTCCACAGAAGTTTTCCACGAGACCCCCAAGAGGCCGCCAGCGCCCCAGTAGTCTCCAACAGGGGTGCCCTAACCCCTAACGGGGAAACCGAGCGGACATGTCGAGCCCTCGGCCCCAAGAGGACCCCATGAGGCCCCCAAGGGGCTCCCAAGATGCCGCCAAGAGGCCCCCAAGATGCTGTCAAAAGGAAGACTCTGACTCACTCATATACATCAACATCCTATGCCTATGTTCGCTGTTCGTCTACCGCCCATCCTTTTACACCAGAAGTGCCGGTAAGGAGTGTCGGGCGAAACGCAATCCTGAGGCTTGGCAATTCTAGCAACTGTACGGGTCGACGGCGACCCGATTGCGCAATGCGTCCCTAACCTCAGCGCCGCGCACAGTCGCCACGTCTTCAATCTGTCGAGCGGTTCCACAGATGGAGCGCAAGTGGTGAACCCAGAAAGGACAGAACTGCCGAGCCAGTCACGTATACGACCACCGAGCCACGCATACGAATGTGCTCGCCAATGTGCAAGGCCACCCCTCATGCTACGAACGCTAGCGTACTGCATTCTCCCGTGACCCATGCGAGCTCATGTGCGCGTACGTCTTAGCTTCACACCTGGACACCCCAATTACCTATTTCAACAAAGACGCAGACAGAACACGTGTGGTTTTCATAATCTCGTGCACTCACTCTAGCCTCATGGGCACTGTCGCGCAGTCCTGCAGCAGCGGCGCGGCATGGGAGGGCGTTCGCGTGAAACGCATGTGCAATGATCTCGCTCGTGACACACATGTGTACTTATCTCGCTCGTGCCACCCGCACGTGCTATGGCACGCTGGCGTACCGATCTCCCAGTCTGCGAGGCCAGCCTCGTCTTACGAACGTTCGCACCATGCAGGCTCTCGAAACCAACGGACGCATGCACACGTAAATGCGAATGTTGTCGCTAATGGGAGGAATGCAACAGCTTGACGAACGGAAGACGGCTGCCTTTCGGCGGCGTACGTAGCAACGTGGCACCCCTGCGGCCGCCGCCACGGCCACCGCAGCCGTCGTCACCGACGCCGTCGACGTCGCCGCGGCCTGCGGTATGCCTGCCGCACCTCGGCCACGGAGGCGGTGGGCAACACGCCGAGCACCGCCCACGGGTCCCGCTGCGCCCGCAAAGCGGCCCCCCGCGCCGCGGCGCTCGGCTGCGCGCGCCCTGCGCGCAGCCTGAACCGTGTCCAGGGCCGGAATTCACACACACACAGACACACACACACACGCACACGCACACGCACACGCACACGCACACGCACACGCACACGCACACACACACACACACACACACACACACACACACACACACGCACACGCACACGCACACGCACACGCACACACACACACACACACACACACACACACACACGCACACACACACACACACACACACACACACACACACACACACACACACACACGCGCGCGCGCTCGTCCCACCGCTAAGGGAAACGGTGTCTCAAGACCTCCAGTACTACTGGACATTGCTATCATCGGGCCACAGCGCGATCATGAGATGTCCATGTTCGCTGCCCCCTGGGGCCCCAGGACATTGGTATCCAGGGCAGCCGCCATGTATATACTCTGGCCTCGGGCCATGCGCCAAAGGGGACCTAAGGAAAGAGGGTCCTGCGGCGTTGGGCCGTGTTCGACCACTCGGGGCCCTTTCCGAACCTCACGACAGTCAAAAACTGCTCAGGATGAAAAGCCGATCCTGGGGAAAGATCTGAATTCCAGAACCCCTTTCTCTGAGGACCAATTTGCTTCATGGTAACAAGGGGGATGCGCCAGAGTTTGTTTCTCAGCCGCGAAAAGACCCGCCCCCCCAAGGAAAAGAGAACAATCTAAGCCCTGCGGTTGCGGAGAAGAGGTAGGGGTGCCCTAGCGTTATTTCCCAGCGACGGTCACAAGCGATGAAGCGCAGCGTTGGTCCCAAGCGTTTGTCCCAAGCCTTGCAGCGTTGGTCCTTAGCGTGGCCTGAGTCGAAGTCGACCCCCGATCTCTCGTTCGATGCGGTCTTGCCCGAATTTCGGGTGGACCCCAACCGCGGCGGTAAGAAACCGCCCAACCCACAAAGATCAACAGCACTCGTAAATTTGGTGGCACGCACAACGGGGTGGCGCAAGGGAGGCGGCCTGCTAAGAAGGCGGGGGAGCTTCTAAGAAGGCAAGTGGCTTCTCAGAGGCTTGCCCGTTTGCTAAAGAGGCCGCCCTTCATCATGCCACCCTTTGTGCGTGCCGCCAACGTCGCCTGGCAAGGGGCCGGACCCTTAGCAACTTGTGTAAGGTTGATGACGAACATCTCTACGCATGACTCATGCGAAGGATTCGCCGAAATAGGCTGGGGAGACGCAAACAAATTTCTCAACTGGGACCGTAGGTGGAGCCCCGTTCAGGGCACGAAAGGTGTGAGGTGGTACGCCAAAATCCTCGGAGAAACGCATGCAAACTTTTCCACTCTGGCCGTAGGTGGGGCCCGTGTGAGGCGGATGCCGGAACGGGCGGTAGTAAACTTTGCAAACTTTCCCACGGAGGCGGAAGGTGGAGTTCCCTCTGGAGCCACGATCCCCATGAGTGGTGGCCGAAATGGGCGACGCCGCCATGCGGACAATTCCACTGACGCTGTATGTGGAGCCCCCTTCTGGTCCACAACGTGACGGGTGCGCCGAAATTGACGTCGGCGAAATGCGGGTCCTCCCACTACTAAGGCCGTATGGCCGTATGTGCAGTTTCCTATGATGCCACGACACATGTGAAGGGATATGCCGAAATTGGGCAGCGGCGGTGACATACGAACGCTCTAACTGCGGCCGTAAGTGGAGCTCCTCATGGGGTCACCAGTCGTGTCACGCGGAAGGAAGGGGCAGGATGACGGGGAGGAGAGGGAAGAGGAGGCAGGGTGGGGTGGGGCGCTGCTGATGCACAAAACGGAGACCCAACATACAGGGGGGGGTCTGGACCCCGCACCTCGGAGCGCGAGGGGACGCCCCGCGTCGCCCAGGCGCTGGCCACGGAGCGGGAGCTGTGGCCTGGCCCCCCTCACGTGGGTTGGGCGAGGAGGGCAGAAAGTGAGAAGGGGCAGGCCATGGGATTGCATCTCCGAGCCTATACGGCTACGAAAAGCAAAACCACTGCCGCGGAACGAAACGTCCCCAAACGCTATCGCCCGGAAGGCTTCAAAGGACACCGCCAAATCACGTTCCCGGAAAGGCTTCTGGGAACATGATTGGCGGGGGCCCAAGAGACCCCGACCCGGGACAGGCCAAAACGAGGGCCAGGAGACCCTGAAAACCATGAAACATGAAAACCATGAAACATGTGACCCCCCCCAAACGGTGTACAGGGGGGGTACCCAGTACACCGAGGGCGGGAGGGTTGGTGACCCATTTTGGTAATTTGCTGGGGTGGCTGGGGCCCCCGCCTCTGGAGCCCCAGGGTTTCCAAGAAGTTTCCCGTCTTCAGAATATTCTGAGAAAACCGCCACCCCTCGCACCTACACAACCCCGAGCGCGAAGCCGAGGAGAGCTACGCACCCTTCCTATGGATTATTTCCCAAACAATGCTTGCCCTTAGGGGTTCTTACTCCGCTTGCTCGAAACATTGGATGGGAGTCCCATGCCTTCGCCACGATCTCGCCCGTGCCCGCTCGTGGGCGCCTCGCAGACGCCTCTCGCTGGGGGGGTCCCGAGGCCTCGCCACGATCGCGCCCGTGCCCGCTGCGCTCGTGGGCGCCTCGTTGGCGCTCCGCGCGCTGGGTGGACTTCCCAAAAGGTTCCCCGCCCCTGTCCTGGAAGGGTTTCCAGAGGCCTCGCCACGGTCGCGCCCGTGCCCGCTCGTGGGCGCCTCGAGGGCGCAAGACTCACACCTCGTGGCTTACACACAATATCACATGGATGTTACCGCAGAGCTTGCACGGCACAGCATTCACCACATCCCTTACACAGCATAGCTCACACGGTAAAGCTTTCACCTCCGCGGTGCACTACCTCACCGTGTGGGGTCCACGCTGGCTAGCATCAAGCAAAACAGAAATCACTCATAAGACGCATAGGGTTTTGGAGCTGCGTGCGGATCTCGTGGATCGGAACTAGATGGTGCGCCAGGGGCAGCGCTGGAGGCGCTGCCCAGGGGGTCCAGCGCCGATGCAGAAAATCCGCGCGGAGATCATGCTTGTGCCGATGCTTCTTCTGCGATATCCCTGGGGTGTGAAATCGATGCCCGATTGGATGCTCCGTCTATCGGGGATCTACTGACCCAGGTCAATCTAAGATCCTGCAAGATCCTGCAAAATCCTGCCAGATCCTGCAGGATCCTGCACCCAAGCCCGGGTCGGTGCACCCCTGGCTCTGCAGGATCCTGCAAGATCCGGCGCTCTGGCGAAGCCCCGCTCGCACCGACCCCCGCCCCTTGAGCCCCGATTCTGTACGGTGCATTTCCAAACCTGGGCCCAGGCACCGCACCCCGGCCCACAACCAAAACCTGTGTTCACCCGAGCGCCCAGCCTCGCCCCCAGCAGGCCCGCCGCGAGCGCGCCGGCGCCCGTGCCCGCGGCCCTGCGCGTCCTCGGCGCCCGCTCTTGGATGCACCCGCGCGGTCGGCAGAAGGGGTGGCAGGAGGAGGGAGGACCGGGGAGGACAGAAGGGATGAGGACTGGGCTTGAAACGTCGAGAGGGCATGATGACCAACAGCAGCCGAGTCACATCTGCAACGGGCGTGCAGCAAGCTGCACGGCCAGCGCGTGTGATGATCACGTAAGTGCACGAGTCAGGCAAAACTAATCGAAGCAGCAGTGCAGCTGGTTGGCGCCCACACAGATCTTACCAGTACGTACAACGATGCAGACATTGACAATGCGAGGGCGAGAGGAGAGGCAGGAGGAGAGATGAGGAAAACACGTGCCGAACATGTGACTTTGCAGCCACTCGGCTCCGTCCAAAACCCAAGGACTTCGCAGAAAAAACAGCCAAGAAGCTTCGAACGCGTATAAGACCCGTAGCGGATCCGTACCCGGATCCGACGCCCGAGGCGACGCCGACACGCCCCAAAGGGGACCCGCGCCACCGTCTACAGGGGTTCCTACATGCATCTTCTGGCGCCCCACGCTGTGCCCATCGCCCGCGACCTGCCGCCAAACCCCATTTCCGTGGCATTGCTGGATTAACGGTCTTAGACCTTCATGCGATTTGAATCTTCGGGCCGAATTCACAAATCGTACCGACCTACCTGACTGTCTCTTACAGACAGTCAGGTAAGATGTGTACGACTTGCCTGAACTGGACGCGTGACTGAATCTCCAGACGGCGCACGTTCGCGAGCGCGCCCTGGTGCGCTCAGGAGCTCCCGCAGGCTCGGCGAAGATGAAAGCGACGACAGCGGCGGCGGCGACCGCGACAGACCACGAGCGGGGCGGCGGCGGCGAAGGCGACAACGACGACGACGACGACGGCGACGTCGGCGGTTGCAGTGGCGAGGGACGACGACGACGCCGGCGACGGCGAGGTCCAGTGATCAGAACGCGCGACAATCCAAACGTCGGACCCAAAGGAGCAGATCCGTAAAATGTTAAAGGAGCCGCACAAAGAAAACTATAGCAAGAAAGCCTCCGTAAAATTGTAGAAGGCGCCTAGCTTCGTGCCCTGGGCGGGTCGTCTTCTGATTCTATGCAATGGTAAGACAGGATTCGTGCGAAACACATGACTTTTGTCGCCATGCGGACCTGTCCAAAAACCAACGACATCGCACAAAATCCGCCCAAGAGCATTCGGACCCGCACAAGATCCGTGGCGGATCCGTACTCGGATCCGACGCCCGAGGCGACGCTGACACGCCCGAAAAGGGATCCGCGTCGTCGTCTACGAGGTCTCTTGCATGCGTCTTCCGGCGATCCACGCTGCGTCAATCGACCGCGACCTGCCGCAGCGAAAATGAAGACGACAACGGCGGCAGCGGCGACCGCGACAAACCACGAGCGGGCCGGCGGCGGCGAAGGCGACGACGACGACGACGGCGACGTCGGTGACGGCGACGGCGACAGCGGTTGCGGCGGCGAGGATGACGACGACGACGACGCAAGCGACGGCGAGGTCCAATGATCAGAACGCGTGACGGTCCAAACGTCGGAACCAAGAGGGGCAACTCAGTAAAATTGCTGCCCTTCCTCCGCCGACCCTGTCGGCGTGTGTGAAGAGCTTTCCCGTTCGAGTCGGGTTTATCCGTTCGGGTCGTCGTTTTCGTCGTCCTCCGTTCCATTTCCCTGGGCCTTCCATCTCAAGCGCACCATCCAAAGCGAACTTGAGCAACGTCGGAATGGAGTCGAAGGGGAGCCCTTTCCCTTTTATCCCTTCCCCAGTCCTGGAGGGGGTCCCTGGAGGGGTCCCCACCCAAATACGCTTCCCCCCCGCGCGGTCCCGGAAACCTGAAAAAGTCCACAGAAGTTTTCCACGAGACCCCCAAGAGGCCGCCAGCGCCCCAGTAGTCTCCAACAGGGGTGCCCTAACCCCTAACGGGGAAACCGAGCGGACATGTCGAGCCCTCGGCCCCAAGAGGACCCCATGAGGCCCCCAAGGGGCTCCCAAGATGCCGCCAAGAGGCCCCCAAGATGCTGTCAAAAGGAAGACTCTGACTCACGTCAGCGTCGTCGTCGCCGTCGCCGCCGCCGTCGTCGTCGCCGTCGTTGCCGCCGTCGTCGTTGTCCCCCTTCAGGGTCGGGGGCGCTGGCCGTAAGGCCTTCGCCATAAATTTCTAAAAGAGTACAATGGTGAGACAGGATCCGTGCGAAACACATGAATGTCCACCGCTCGGATCCGTCCAAAACCAAACCAATTCGCACAGGATCCATCCAAAAACCTTCGGATCCGTATCGGATCCGTAGCGGACTCGTTCCCAGATCCGGCGCCCGAAGCGACGCTGACACACCCGAGAAAGGACCCGCGTGAGCGACTGCTGGTGCCCCTGCATGCGTTTTTCGGCGCCCCGCGCTGCGCCCATCGACCGCGACCTGCCGCCAAACCCATATTCCCCAGGCTGGCTGCGCGGGACCCTGGCCGAGCTGGCCCGTCCGTGCACGACCTTCCTGCGATTCGAACCTCCGGGCCGAATTCTCAAATCTTACCAACTTACCTGACTGTTTGCATCACACAGTCAGGACAAATGGGTACGATTTGCGCCCCTGTGCGCTCAGGGAATCCCGCAGGCTCGGCGAAGGTGAAAGCGACGACGGCGGCGGCGACGACCGCGACAGACCACGAGCGGGGCGGCGGCGGCGAAGGCGACGACGACGACGACGATGACGTCGGCGACGACGACGGCGGTTGCGGCGGCGAGGACGACGACGGCGACGATGACGCCAGTGACGGCGATGTCCAGTGATCAGAACGCGCGACGGTCCAAACGTCGGAACCCAGAGGGGCAGCTCAGTAAATTGTAGGAGTCGCATGAGTATAATTCCAGCAAAGGAACCTCAATAAACTTCAACAAATCGCCTACCCCCGTGCCCTGGGTAAGTCGTCCTCGGATTCTACGGCTGCCCTTGATCAATACACAAAGGTACAATGGTCAGACAGGATCCGTGCGAAACACGTGACTGTTCCACCACTCGGACCAGTCCAAAAACTAACAAATTCGCGCAAGATCCGCCCAAGATCCGAAGCCCGAGGAGACGCCGACACGCCCGAAAGGGGACCCGCGTCACCGTCTACAGGTCCCCTACATTCGTTTTCCGGCGCCCCACGCTTCGCCCATCGCCCGCGACCTGCCGCATAACCCCTTTTCTCCAGGCTGGCTGCGCCGACGGCCCCTGGCCTGGCTGACCCATCGGTCCATGTCCTTCATGCGATTTGAATATCTGGGCCGGATTTGCAAATCGTACCACCTTACCTGACCGTTTGTAGTAGCCCGCTGGAAACAAATGTCACACTCCGCGCAGAAGGACGCCACTCGCCTGGCAGCTTGGCATGAAAGAAAAGGGTCCTGAGGGAACGTGGGCCCTCGATCCCAGGGCTCTTTCCACGACAAAGTTCTCATCCGCGTTTCGTACATGACGGACCAAGGATGGCCCGAGACAGTCCCAAAAGGCAAAACAACTTAGCCCCCTTTCGATCAGGAATCCTTTCTCTACATGTCGACGCTGCTGGATGCACTCCTGACCAGAACCCGCTCGACACTGACTTCGAAACTACCCCCCCTTCCACCATCCTGACAAGTTCGTGAAAATTAACGGCTCCAGGGGAACTTGGCCGTATTATTGACGAGCCCGCCCTTACTTCTTCCAATGGTTACATCATGTTCGCCACGTTTTCAGTCAGCAGGCTCAAGGCTGTCACATGCGCAAACAACTGGACAAACATGCCCGCGCAACGCACACGCAGGTGCTGACAATATGCGTGAATCTTTTACTCCAAGACCTTCTCGCTGCAAGTGATAAGTTATGCTAGCTGGTAGCGTAGGCAAAAGGGGGCCCCCTCAGCCAATATGTTTACGGGCAGAGGGGTGAGAGCATGCAACAGCAATAGCAGGGACCAGCATTATCAGATAAACAGAATGACTATTGCACTCCTGGAGTTCTCTCTGGTCCTGCTCTGAAGCTCGGAATGCGGCCTGGCTATACAACGGGCTTGTTTGCAGCACGGACTCGGATTAGCACGAAATAAAACAGTAACTGAATTCTTTGAGCGGCCAAGGATCGGCAGCTGAAATCAATGAACCGAAACTCGATACGGCATCCGGAATCGGTAATATCTTGGGCAAAACCAAGCGGATGGGAGTGAAACGCGACTCCCGGCACGTGTAAGTGAAAAATCAAACTCGCAATATCTTGGGCGAAACCAAGCGGATGGGAGTGAAACGCGACTCCCGGCACGTGCAAGTAAAAAAAATCAAATCACTTCTTCTGTACTTGGCCATCCCCACCGGTCAGCTCCTCGCAAGCAATCGACTCCACGAGCGAAAGCACTGGGTCCGCCAAGAACTTGGTCAGATTCTCGCGAAGCTTCGGATCCTCCTTGGTCACGCCGTCGGCTATCATGTGCGTCGTAGGGATCCATCTGACGTTCTTGACCTTCACCTCGTCACGAATGGAAATCACGTCGATCACAGTACGTTTCTCAGACAAACTCGGGGTGAGCTGGTGGAGGGCATCGTACAGAGACTTGCAGTCGGTAGCGGTGATAACCTCGAAGATCGGTGGGTGTCGGCCAGCAGGCCGTCCGGTCAACATCTCGGACAGGAACTTCGACAAGTACGACGCGTAGTCCACTCCCAGGTCCTGCGCGATAGCTTCCCCAGCCAGCGTAGATCTCACCACTCTCGGCGTTCTCTTGGACTTGTGAAACAAGAGAGTACATGACGTGGGTCCGGTGAGTATCACCTCGTCTGCCAGAAAGATGAGGGTGCCGATCTGGGTCTTCAATCCCGGAGCGTTCGCCCATGAGCTGTCTGCAAAACTCACGAAGCAGGCGCGGCTCAAATCGACGCGGACGATCAGGATGCCAGTCTGGGCTGTGCGGTGCGCGTACTCTACGTGCTTCATGGCCATCCGTAGGTCGTTCAGCTCGGGGTCGGTCCTCTGGACAAGGGAAACCGCGGCTGACAGGTCTGGGCGTGTGTGTCCGGACAACCACTGGAGCGAACCGACAGCAGACTCCAGATCTTCGCGCTCCGAGCGCGTCAGCTTAGAAGAAGACCGAGTGCTGGACATAACTCCAACCTTCGTGACTGCAATCGCCTTAGTGTAGGCCGCTTGATGAACAAACAAACTTCCACTGTACGGACCTTGACGTAGGCGCTGGTACTCCTCGCCGAGGAAGACGAAGTTGTCCCACTGCCAGCCTCGCCATTTAATAGCCTTCTCGATCGGTGTGAAGTCGAACTTGGGATGGTGTGCCGCAAGAGCATCGTCCACGTGCATACCCACCGCGCAAGCCAACTCATTGTTCGGAAAAAACCGCAAGAAGAGAGCTGAATCGAGGCTGTGGAGCTTGCTGCCCAGCGCCAGGAAGGTCGTCACCACGTGCTTGTACCACAGGTACGGCGCCGTCGACTGACCGTACAGGTTGCCAACCACCTCGTAGAGCGGGGCGGTGAAGACTCCGGCGGCTTGAACTATCGGGTCCTTGGGCGGAATCATGTAGATCGCCTCCTCGCGCTCGCTCTGGGCGCCTCCCTGGAGAAAGGCGCTCTCCGCGTCTCCGGTCCCGACTCGCCAGTCATTCGAGACCGCGATCTGGCAGATCAGCTTCTTGCCAGCGTCGGTCAGCACCGGGGCGTTACGCGGCAACTTCTCCAGGTCGGGGTCGGAGAACCCCAGCAACACCGGGCGAGCCTTGGCCTTCAACGGCGGAAACCCCAAGTTCTTGTCCCGGTAGCACACGCGCGAGCGGATGCACCGTTTGCGGCGATGAGGGTCACGACGAACTTGTTCGGCCTCCTCCTGCGAGCAGGCCCGAACGGACTTCCAGGTGTCCCAGTTCTGGCACTCCTTGCGCAAGGCCTTGACGTACTCCATGAACTGGTCCTCCGGGTACTCTGCGATCTCCCGCCAAGGGATTTCACGATCCAGTTGACGCTGCTCGCGTCTCGACAGGTTGTTCGAGTCCGTCGTGTCGCCCACCTGTGCTGTCGCACAGTCCACGTCCATCTCGCCGTCCCTGAGGTCGGAGAGCTCGTGGGAGGTCATGTACAGGCAGTTTGTCCAGTCGTCGTCCAACTCGCTGTCGTCGATCGGGTCGTTCTCGAAGTTCTCGATGGGCAAGAGGTGCGCCTCGTAGGCCTCCTGGACCTCCGCCAGGCTCGAGAACACGCGGGTCCTGAGCAAGACCGGCTCCTCGACTCCGTCCCAGCCATCCGGTGCGATGAACTCCATCTCGCCCGACTCGTTGGACACGAAGGCTGCTGGGCTCGGTGAGCCCGGTATGTTAGGAAGCTTTCCTGGTCGGGATTTCTTCTCCGGTGGTGGTGCGATAACCGTCGAAGGTGCCGAACCGCTCGATGGTGGTCGAGCTGCGGACGACTCGCGGGTATGAGGTGCTGATCTCCTCGGCGTGGGCGTCGCAGAGCGCTCTCGTGCTCGGACTGGTCCAAACTGAGGCGGCGCTGGCCACGGAAAGGGCGCAGCGGGCTCTGGAGCTTCGCCTTCGGCTCGACGCTGGGCTCGACGCCGGGTACCGCTCTGGCCTGTCGGCGTCGGAGGCTCCGATGCGTCGGCAAGTTGAGGAAGTTCAGCATCTGGCGCAGCTTCAGGGGCGTCGTCGGCTGACGCGCTCCTGAAGTTCTCTTTGGTAGCGTTGTCTCCCAGAGAGGCCTGTGCGGGCTCCTCCAGGATGGGCTCGAGCGGGGCTGCCGGAAGAGGTCCCGGCAGCACTCGTGCTTGCGGATCTTCTGGTTCGGGTTGTTGTTCAGGAGGGCCCTCAATGGTGATGTTTGAAGCGTCGCCCTGACCGGCCTTCGCCAAGTCCTGCTCGGCCGTCTTGAGCTCCTTGAGGTCCTCCTCGGAAGGGGTCCAGCCCTCGAAACCGACGGCTGGGCGTATGTGTTCGCGGGCCACCTGCACAGTGCGGTGCCCGATCCGCAGCCAGGCAGACTCGCCCTCGCCGTAGCCGTTGGTGCCGGAATCCCAGAAACAGAAAATGCCTGGGCGATGCCCTGCCACGGGCGTCTTGCCCCGTCGCTTGCGACCATGCTCGCCCCAGGCTGCCACGCGCTGTCCCGAGAGGAAGTCGTACTCCTTGCGGTTGACAGGCTGGCGGAGGATGGAGGTGCGCAGCGCCTCGTCGGCCTCCAGGTCGGCGATCGCCTTGAGCGCCTCAATGCGGCATCTCTCCCCGTAGGCCAACATCTCATCCCGGGCGCAATTGCGCCAGAACTCGGCGGACGTGGTGTCGGCCAAGAGCTCGGTCGGAAGTGTGGGTACCCGTCCGAAGGCGGCGGCATAGGCGGCGCGGCCTGCTCGGCGCACTGACTGGTTTACGGCGTGGCTCGTCGAGATGATCGCGAGGTCCACGTGCTCTGGCATCGTCGGCAGGATGACGTCGATCACCTTCTCGAAGACTCGGCGCCAGGCGTAGTTGCCGGATTCGGCCAGGCCCAGCTGCCAGTGAGCTCCCGGCGGCACGTACCTCACGTCGATTCCCAACGTGTGGCAGTTGTCCATGAACACGGCTTCGAAGGCACCGTCCCGGTCGACAACCAGAATCTGCATGATCCCGAACGGGGTGAGCCAGCACGTCTGGAACTTCTCCCAGACGTCTCCTGGTTCGCGTGAAGCAATCCGACACACCACATGTAGTCTCGTAGCTTTGTCCACCAGTCCCAAGAGTGCGTGCGTCGTACCGTCGTGGGTCATGACGTAGAACAAGTCGCCCTTGACTAAGTCGTTGAACAGACCCACTCTTGGAATCTGTGACTCCCGCTGTCGCTGAGGCCGTTTGCGACGAAGGCACGCCGGGCACCTCAGCGCTCTGGCGCACAGTAGCGTGGCCTGCGAGGCGCCTCTCTGAGCCAGGAACTGGAAGAACTCGCTGGGCACAGGATGTCCCAAGTTACAGTGCATACGAGCGACAAGCTGGCGAACTTCACGAGGACACTGCTCCTTTGTCACTCCAACAAAACGTATGCCAGCCATACCGCCGGACGCGTCAGGCATCCGAGCGATCGGGACGTCCTGCAGGTCGTCATCCTCGTCGGGCGGCAGGCTGTTGTTCGGCAGCATCGGGTCGTTCGGGTCCGGGGGAAGCGGCATTCGCTTCTCTATTTGTGACGTGTCAGGCTCCTGCGGGAGGGACTCCTGCTTGGCATAGCCGAAGAAGAAAATGGCTAGGTCCGCGGGCGGCGACAAGGCCAACGTCGGGAAGGCCACGTCAACCAGGTCCTCGGCTTCGATGTGGTAATGCCCCTTCTCGTCCACGTAGCAGTGACCGCGGTGAGACCACGGCTCCTTGTTGATGGGGAACCTCCTTTGTTTGGCTGTCTTCGCGAGCTGGATCATCGTGAGGTCCCACGGGACGAGCTGGCTAATCTGTCTCCAGAGCGTGGATGACTTCGAAAGGTAATGCATGGCCTTGTTCCCGCCTCGGCTGGCGGAGCCGCCCACGATCTGTCGGACGCCCTGCATGACCGCCTCCCACCTGGTGGGGTCCTTCTCTGGCGAGGCGAACAGCACCTCGATGGGACCTGCGTGGTTGTAGGCGACCTCCCACTCGGTAGCCGCGACCGGCATGTCGGCGAACCTGCTCGGATTCCTCTGGGCGGCGACCTGCTGGATCGCGTGGAGCATCGCGTGGGCCATCTCGTCGGTGTACTCGCCGCTGGCCTTTGTCCACTTCGAATTCTCAATCTGATCGTGCAAGTGGCCCCCGGACTCCGGACGAAGTCCTGGGCAGCGGCGGCTCAGAGCCGCAAGCACGGGCGGCGAGTTGGAGAACCAGCGATGCGCCTTGCGAATCGGCAGGCCAGTCTTGCCTGTCTTCCCGCACTGGCACCCATGGCCAATAACGGTCTCGCCCAAGGGCAGGAGCGGGGCGAACTGGAGGTCCTTCCAGATCGCTGACGTCGGCGGGTTCTCGAACAAGAAGAACCGGCCATGCTTCACCTGGTACTTGATGGTCCACTTGATCAAGTCAATCAGCCGTCGATCCCGGGCACGAAGTCTCTCAAGCAGCTCGGGATGGTCGACGTAATTCACATTGACGTTGTAGGAGCACCAGAGCGTGCAGGGGAAGCCTACGATCACGTAGAGGGGCTTGTCTTTCTGTATCTGATCTTTCCATCTCTGAGCACCTCGCGTAGCTGACAAGTCCCAGCCGTCCTCTATGTCGGCGCTCGGCGAGGCCCTCAGCTCAAAGCGTGAAGCTAATCGCGTAGGTCTTGCTGTCCCGGCGCAGCCCTCGACGAGGTCGGTGCCGCACGCCTGGCACTCGTTGTCCAGGTACAGGTGGTCGGGCAACTCGGGAACGGGAATGTCCATGAAGGCCACGTCCGAACAGCACCATTCCGCGTCTCGTAAATCGGCAGCTCGGCGATCGGCATCTTGACTCACGTTAATAAGCGTCTCGCAGGCTGCGGTCGTCTTCTTAGCAATGCCGAGAAGGCGCTTCCAGGCGCCTCTCTTCACCACCTCGGTCCCCGACGCGGGGGAGGCTGGCGCGGAAGCTTGTCCCATCCCTGGTCCGTCTCCTCGCCCCCGGAGGTCCTGTCCATGTTCTCGTCGTCCTCCTCGTCCGTCGGAACCGCCTGCTCCGAGGGTGACCTTGGCTCCGCCTTGGTCCGCGTACGACCCTGGCTCGAGCTCGCCGAAGACTTGACCGGGCGTTTCGGCATTGTTGAAGCAGCTGGCCGAGAGCGCGAGGAGGAACCCAGTGACTTTGTCGAGGTAGGTACGCGAGGAGGATCTTCTTTGTCGTCCACGATCCACTTCCCGTTGACCGACTTCCACCGCCGGCCGCACTGGTCGCAGATCAGCCAGTACCCCTTGGCGTAGTACCTCCTCGTTGTCGGATGGGCGCGCACGTCCCTCTTCTCGCACAGCTGTGAGTAGTTCTGGGCTTGATCCTCTGGTGCCGGCGGCGGTGGCAGCACGCTCTCCGGAACCTGTGCGGCTCCTCTCGCGATCGCCTTCACTGAGTCCGCCATCGGTGTCAGGTAGCCCATCTCGTGGCCCATCTGCGCGATCGTGCCCATCATCCGGTTCGACATCTCCATGTTCTGCCGGAACTGCTCGCGACTGCGACCGATGATGTGCGACAGGTGGTTCATGATCAGCTGCATCAGGTTCGTCCACGCGTTGATCGCCAGGTTCTGCCTCGTCAGCTGGACTGTGCGACGAGACGATCGGGCCTCCTGCGACTCCGACTTGACCGACTTCATTCACCGACAGACCGAGGATGCTCTCGAACACGGGTGTGGCGTCGGTCAGGTTACAGCCGTCTGGCACGGAGGGCAGGACTTCGCGAGGCTGAAGCAGCCCGCGGTGAGTATATGTAAGAGCACACAGTGCTGCGCGTGAAAGCTGCATAGGCTGAGACTCGGCTTGAGCACAACTATCTCCGGAAAGACAGGCTGGTGCCTCTGGGATCCACTGGGGCTCCGGGATGATGACGTCCGAGGGGGTGAACTTCCAGGCCTCGGGCTCCCTTGGGAACCCCACATCCTTCAACCAAGAGTCGACTCTCAGAAGCAAGTGGCCATTCGGGGCAATCTTCAGGGGCACGTCGCATAGGTCGATCTTGGTGAAATGGGCCCTTTCCCCCAAGGTGTCCAGCTGGAGGCCCAAGAGCTTCCACATCGGTAACGATCCCAAGAAAGGCAACTTAGGGTTCACGTCCAAGACGGAGGTACGGCAAACCAGGGGCACCACATGTTCAAGACATATCGGGAAATACACCACAGATTTGCTCACCGCACGACTGACTCCAAACCGAAACCTCTCTTGCTCCTCAGCCCCCCAGAAACTCAATCCCAGGTAGGCGATATGTTCCAGAAACTTTCCCAAACACTCGTAGCCCACAACGTTGCGCTGGCAACCTGTGTCGATGACAATGTAGAAACCCTGGGAATCCTCGAGGAAGCAAACGTCCAAGGGCGTCCGGACACGCCAGATGACGTCGACCTGATGCGATGATTTTGTCCGCTTCTCGCCGCCTGAGCTCCGCGAGAATCCACGGAAAACTGACGCACTTCTGGCGCTGCCTGAAATCGAACGCGAGAGGCCCCCTTGTCGCTGGTGGCGACCCTGCTCTTGAAGGCGGCCACGCGCTGCTGCAGCTCGTCAGGCGAGAGGTGCGTGACTAAGGCCTCGTGCTCTACCGCATCGGCGGCGTACTCCTCATCGTCTTCATCGGCGGGTTCGTCCTGATCGATCGAGGCATCATGAACGGCGCGAGCTCGATCGCGTTTATCCTTGTAGCCGGTCCTCGATGACGTCTGGCGAAACCCTGGCCTCTGAGATGCCGCCGGTGCTCTTGAATCTCCGGATCGATCTCCCGTAAACGTTCCGCGAATGCTTCCTGAAAAAGACGCGCCGGCCGGCGGCGTCGCAGTGCCTCTCTGTGGCGGTGCTGACGATGTCTGCGGCGACCTGCCGGGCGGCGCTGGGGACGGCCGGCCCGCAGGGGCGGCGGCGCCACCGGAGGGCGCTGACCGCGGTGGCGGGCGTCGGTCTCCAGGCTTCGGCGGTGAGGACCTTCCGGTCCACCCGCGGCCCAAGGTCAGCTTCTTCAACTTGTCGCTTGTGACGGTCAAAGCGTCCGCCACCTCCTGCATGACCTGGATGCTGTCAACCTCCTCGGCGTAAGCCTCATTTACTTCTGCTTGATCGGGGTCATCTTCATCTTCGTTTTCCTCAGCCTCGTCCTCGGGAATAATGTCGGCCTCGCTGACGTGGGGCGGCTTCGGCGCTGGTCGAGGAGCTCGACTCTGTGGCTGTCGATCTCGTCCTTTGCCGCCTCCTTTGTCGTGATCTCGACCAGCCGGCCTGCGTTCAGGAGCGGCCGCCTCACCGAGTCGCTTGCGTGCCATCCGTCGTACTGGAGCGACCCAGTTCGGGGCGGTGGACGGCCACTGCACACTCATAGCCTGAACGAGGCGGTCGAAGTCATACTCATTGCCCGTCGCGAGGAGGAGGTTGCGCCGAACCTCCGGCGATAAACATGAACTTCGCAACAACTTGAATGCACGAAATTGTCCTTGCTGAGCTGGAAGCTCTGCCCGCTTGAGCCGCATCTCGAGATCCTTGAAATGCGCGACGTACGCGGCCAGCAGCTCACCGGGCAGGCGCTCCACTTCTTCGTACTCTTCCATGAGGTCTCCAACCTGTAGGATCTGCTGCTCGTCAAACACGGCGAGTGAGTTGATCACCAAATCAATACCATCTTGTGAATACAAACGGGTCCATTCCAAAGACTCGATCATCTCTGCGCCCTCGCCCGTGATGACGTCCGAAAGGTCCAGGGCCAGCTCGGCCATCGGCTTGTAGTGTCGCGCCCTGGCCTTCCACATGTGCACTTTCCTAACCCACTTCTGGTAGTATCTCGGCTGCTTGTATATATTCTGAAACCGGGCCTCGAGTGGAGGTGGGGCTGGGCACGGTCCTCCGCGCCACTTCTTGCGATCACCGCGGGTGCGTCGAAACTCCGCCGAGCTTGGTGGAATCTCCGACTCCTCGTCGTCGTCCTCGGCCCAGTCCTCTCCAGCCCACTCGTCGGCCCATTCCTCTTCGTAGGTCTCATCGTCGGGCGTAGCCGCTGCCGCGGCTCCATCTCGAGGGTGCTTGCCCCTGTATCGACGATCTCCGTACTTCTTCGGTGCGGCGGCACCGCGAGAACCAGCGGCAGCAGCAGGCCTCCGGTCAGCCATCGTGCGGGATGTAATATCCGTCGTGATCTGTCCGACTGCACGGGAGTGTCCGGGAAGAAACTGTCTGATGCCGAAAGGGTTCTCCCTGCGAGGGAGCTCGGAATACACGCTCCGCTACCAATGCAACGCACACGCAGGTGCTGACAATATGCGTGAATCTTTTATTCCAAGACCTTCTCGCTGCAAGTGATAAGTTATGCTAGCTGGTAGCGTAGGCAAAAGGGGGCCCCCTCAGCCAATATGTTCACGGGCAGAGGGGTGAGAGCATGCAACAGCAATAGCAGGGACCAGCATTATCAGATAAACAGAATGACTATTGCAGCCCGATCTTGGTCACACTAATTCGCTCTAGGGGCCGCTCGGGACGACACGGGTGCTCAACAATGACGGAACTAATAATCTAGTTCCTCAGAGCTCCCATGCAATGAAGGCTCCTTACCCGTTTCCTGAGGATTGGGCTGCGGTTTGCGGACCTTCAGTCCGCTGTAATCCCGCTACCACCCCTTTGTCGCCTCGTTGTCCGCCAACCCGTTGCCGCCACGATGCCATCCCGACTGCCCTTTGCGTTGTTGTGCATTGCTTTGGGTTGGTGTGCTTAGCTTTGCTTAGCTTAGCTTTGCATTGATTTTCATGCATTCGCACTAGATGTTGCATTCCTTTGCGTTGTCTTCAGTTATGTCGCGATGCTTTGTCTCAGTTTGTATTGGTTTGCACTACGTTGCCTTTTTTATCGCTTTCTCTGGGATCTGAGGGCCCTGCTCGTTTTCAGCTGATGGCCGCGTCCCTTCAGCAGACGGAAGCTAGAAACCACCGCCACCCCAGGCCATGGGCCACCCGCCTGTACCGTCCAACCCTCGAGCGAGAGGGTGCCCCTGGCCAAGGGTGGTGCCTAGAAACCTACGCCAGGTTCGAGCCGTGACATCTGGCGCGTTGGCTGCTGACACCGTCTGGATCGCTCAACCTTGAACAGCCGCGGCTTTCCGATATCGCAGGTCTTTCACGATGTCGGCCGATTCTGGGCCACCGGCGGCGTTCGACCTTGAACACCAGCGCCAGGGTCGCCGGCTCTGCGCGGTAGCTGGCATAATAACTCCTGCGGGCCTCATAAAGAAAACACAAGAAGCTGGAAGAGAAGATGCGCCCCTGAACCCGGTCCTCGTCTCGAACGCCGTGCCCCTCAGACGGCAACTGGCGGAGCAGCCAGACCGGCCACCTCCGAGCACGGCGCCAGCGACCAAGCCTAGTCCAGGCTCCGAAGATCGCTACTGCCTCTGAGGCACAATCAACTGGCATCCCCCTCGCCAAATAACGTTTTGCTTCCAATTGTATTATGTACGTTGCGATTCCCATGTTGCCGAAATAACTTCAGATTCCTGCGCTATGGGAAAATAGTTACCACATTTGGATTCCAGCGTGGCTCAAGGCAAGACAATTGCCGGAGCCTCAAATTCGCTGGCTCAACGGGCCAGAGATCTCCGGTACTAGGTTGACAAAATTTTTAGTTCGCGCGCGCGGGGCGGCCCCTGGGGGTCCCTGGACGACAAATACCCTGGCCAGGTCCCCGGCCGAAGCCCTGGCAAGATCCTCCAGGCGCCTCAGATCGCGACAAGAGGGCCCCAAGAGGCGCTCAAGACGGTCCAAGAGGGCTCCGAGTCGTCGAACGATCGGCCCGAGACACCCACGATGGCTTCCAGACGGCCCACGACGCGTACAAGACCCCCGAAGAAGCCACCAAGAGGCCTCCCAAGAGAGCCCCAGAGGACCCCGAGAGACCAACATCTGTTATTTTACTATGGTTTTGGAATGACTCTGGCCTTCTCGCCTTTTCGGCTTTCCAACGCTTCAAGACGGCCCAAGAGGCCCCCAATACCGCCCAAAGACAGTCCAAGAAGCCTCCAAGAGGGCCCCAAGACGGCCCAAGATGGCCCCAAGACAGTTCTAGAGGCGCCCAAAACGGCCCAAGAGGGGGTCAAAACGGCCCCAAGAGGGGCCCAAGAAGGGGACCAGAAACCGAAAAGTCAAGCCGTCAGTCCCAAGACGCCTCCAAGAGGCCCCAAGAGGCCCCAAGGGGGCACCCCAAGAAGCCCCAAGAGGCCCCCAAGAGGCCCCAAGAGGCTCCAAAACGGCTCCCAAGAGACTCCCAAGGAGCCCCCAAGAGGCTCCCAAGATGCTTCGAGACTGCCCCCCAGGAGCTCTCCACAGGTCTCCGCGGGAGACTCAACAACCCAAGGGCCCCGAGCTTTTCTGCAATGGCCGACCAGACCCCCTGGGCACGACGAGCACACCGCCACGCAGCCATCGTCATCATCCTCCCCTCTTCCTCCCACTGCTCCTCCCTTTTCTCGTGCTCCGTGTCGTCCATTCTCGCCGCAAGCGCACCAACATATACGACAAGAGTCTCCCAAGAGACCCGAGGCCCCCGGAGGTCCAACAGAAACTACAAAGAGTCCGCCCAAGAGACTCCACGAAGTATCCCAAAGAGGCGTCTTGTGCACGACCACGGTGGGGCCACAAATACCCTAAGAAGCTACGTACCGAGAGGCCGCTCCCTCATCCTTATTTCCCCCTCCTCATCCTCCTCCTCCTTTTCCAAGACGCCTTCACGGGGCCCCGAGGACGGCTCGATAGACGTTCAAGAGGGCCCCTTAAGCCCCAAAACGGTTCAAGCCCAAGAAGCTTCCAAGAGCTCCCGACAAGCTCCGAAGAGTCTCCTCTGCACTGTCCACGACAAGCCACTCCACAGCGCGCCGCAGAGACGCCAAGAATCATCCCTGAGGACTCTGACCTACAACCCACGCGCAATGGCGGGATGGGCCGTAGGCTCGTAGATCTTAGCTCCAATAGACACGAGTTCACCACTGGGAATTTGGGTCGAACAGACGGATGCATCGGGGAGGAAGCAGAGGACAGCCGGAGTCCGGCACATGTTCGCGAGAAGTCCGAGAAAGGCAGGACACACAAACCCAGGAAGAGGAACGCGACCAAACGCCCCATTATGCCCCAAAACTTCTTCCAAAAACCTCCTCCTCCTTGTCCTCATCCTCCCCTCTTCCGCCCCTTCCTCCTCCCTTTTCTCGTCCCCCTTGTCGTCCATTCTCGCCGCAAGCGCACCAACATATATCACCAGTGATGCAACGCGGGCCGCAGGCCATTCGTTAATAGCATGCCATACTACCAAGAATAATACGATCCTCCGCATCCATCTCCTCGGACATTTCCTGGCGTGCCAAGTGCAATCTTCTCTCTCACCCCGCTCCTTTTCTCCCCATCTGTTCAGTCTGTTTCCAAGCTTCGGTATGACAGCCCAACCCCCTCGTGGATCCACTGCTTGATCCTAGACGTGCTTGATCAATGCACCTCGCCTGGGCATTATTTCTGGATGGGCAAATGGGGAAACGCAAAGCGTCAACAAGTGAAAAGCTACGCGCTCAGTGAATCGGGCAGCCACCAATGATGTAATGTGGGCCGCAGGCCATTCGTTAACAGCATGCCATGCTACCTGGAATAACCCGACCCTCCCTATCCATAGCGCGATCCTCTGTAGCGCCACTCCTCGGACATTTCCGGGCGTGCCAAGTATAGTATTCTCTCTCACCCGCTCCTTTTTCCCAACCATCCTGTGGTGTTGGGTCCTCGTTTTGAAGAGACGGTCCCCGCGTTCCTCTCCTCTTCTCCTCCTCTTTCCCTTCCTCCTCCCTCCTCCTTCTTCCATGCGTTTCACCCACCCAGTACAGCGCTTCGTGACCCCATGGGGGACTCCACCGAAACCCCCAGCGGCACCGCCCGCATGCGTCCGCCACCACCCAGCACAGACCTTGCTCCCTTCGTTTCACCCACCCAATACAGCGTTTCGTGGCCCCGTAGGGAACTCCAGCGTAGGTCCCAGTGGCACCGCCCGCATGCGTCGGCCACCACCCAGCACAGCCCTTGCTCCCTGCGTTTCAACCATACAGCGCCTCGTGGTCTCAAAAGGAACTCCAACGGAGGGCCCAGTGGCACCGCCCGCATGCGTCGGCCACCACCCAGCACCGCCCTTGCTCCCTGCGATTCACCCATTCAATGCAACGCTTCGTGGCCCCATGATGGGGGCTCCACCGAAGGTCCCAATGGTACCGCACGCATGCGCCCGCCACCACCCATCACAACCCTTGTTCCCTGCGTTTCGCCCACCCAGTACAACGCTTCGTGGCCCCATAGGGAGCTCCACCGAAGGTCCCAGTGGCACCGCCCGCATGCGTCCGTCACCACCCAGCACAATCCTTGTTTTTTTGTTTCATCCACCCAGTGCAACGTTTCGTGGCCCCATCGGGAGCTCCACCGAAGGTCCCGGTGGCACCGCCCGCATGCGCCCGCCACCACCCAGTGCAGCCCTTGCTCCCTGCGTTCCACCCACCCAGTACAGCGTTTCGTGGCCCCATGGGGGACTCCAGCGAAGGTCCCAATGGCACCGCCTGCATGCGCCCGCCACCACCCAGCACAGCCCTTGCCCCTGCGTTCCGCCCACCCAATACAGCGCTTCGTGGCCCCATAGGGAGCTCAACCGAAGGTCCCAGTGGCACCGCCCGCATGCGTCCGCCACCACCCAGTATAGCCCTTGTCCCCTGCGTTTCACCCACCCAATACAGCGCTTCGTGGCCCCATAGGAGGCTGCACGGAAGGTCCCAGTGGCACCGCCCGCATGCGTCCGCCACCACCAAAACACGGCCCTTGCTTCCAGCGCTTCACCCACCCAGTGCAACGTTTCGTGGCTGCACCGAAGGTCCCAGTGGCACCGCCCGCATGCGTCCGCCACCACCCAACACTTGCGTTTCACCCACCCAGTACAGCGTTTCGTGGCCCCATGGGGGACTCCACCGAAGGTCTCAGTGGCACCGCCCGCATGCGTCGGCCACCACCCAGCACAGCCCTTGCTCCCTGCGTTTCACCCACAAAATACAACGCTTCGTGGCCCCATAGGGAGCTCAACCGAAGGTCCCAATAGTACCGCACGCATGCGCTTGCCACCACCCAGCACAGCCCTTGCTCCCTGCGTTTCGCCCCCCCTGTACACCGCTTCGTGGCCCCACAGGGAGCTCCACGGAAGGTCTCAGTGGCACCGCCCGCATGCGTCCGCCACCACCCAACACGGCCCTTGCCCCCTTGCGTTTCACCCACCCAGTACAGCGCTTCGTGGGCCCATAGGGAGCGCCACCGAAGAACATATTCACAATCGCGGTACTCACAACTGCATATGGTTGGGCCTTTCGCCAGGCTAATTCGCCGCTCCCTCCCCCATCTGTTGAGATTGATTCCGAGCTTCGGTACGACAGCAGAACCCTCTCGTGGTTCCGCTGCTTGCTCCTACGCGTGCTTGATATATGCATCTCGCCTGGGCATCATTTCTGGATGGGCACATGGGGATACTCAAAGCGCTTACAAGTGAAAAGCTACGCGCTCAATGAATCCGGCCTCCTGGAAGCTCCCCTGGATCGTCTTCGGCCACCTTGGGAGCTATATCGTTTTTTGTTGGGGGTCGTTTCTAGACCCAGCTTGGGGCCTGCCACACATTGGTTTTCACTCTAGGGCCGCTCTTGGGGTGGACACCTGCGCCGTGTGCTATGCCGCGCCGACCGACATCGGAGCACGCTCGCCTCGCCTTCAATCTCTTCCGCGACGTGGCCCCGCAACGTCTGCACACTTTCTCAGCCTTCGCAAAACACCGCTTGTCCAGCACCTGCGTACACTCGGGAAATCCGTGGCGCGCCCGGCACCGCCTTGCAGTGTGCTCCCGAAGAAAACATCAGAAGTGATTCCACATTCGATATCGATTCGACTTTTTTTTAGCCGCGGAAGCCCCCCCACTTTGGGTCGTCGTCGTTTTCAGGAAGTATCAAGCGGGATCCCCGCTTCTGCTTCGAAAAAGCGATGTTGAAAGCAGGGCCAGCGGGTGCTCTCCATCAGCCCAGCCTTGTGTGGAACTTTTGGGGAGTCCAAGGAGCTGGACCTGGAGCCACGACTCCAGATCGGCCCAGACCTCTCGAAAACGATCCACTTACCCTCCGAAGAACCTGGCGCCATGCCATGACATGCTGTGCGGTGTTGTGTTCTGCACCGCTCTGCGATGCCATGCTTTGCGTTGCAATGCTTTGTGATGCAATGCTTCACTGCGCAATGCCACGCCATGCTATGGCATGATACGCTCTGCCGTGCTCTACTATGCCATGCCATGCCGTGCTCTACCATGCATCGCATACCCTCTCGCGATCATTGCCCTGCTCGACATCCGACTGTGCGAATAGAGAGGATATCTACGCTAAGGGATGGGAAGGAGGGGTAGGACCTCAGATATGATGCGAGCACACCTAGCTTGGCGCACCCCCCTTCTGGCATCTCCCTGGTACCGCCGTTGGGGTTGCCGCCCTTGAGAATTAGCCGCCTGAAGCCGCCCTGGGCTACTCAAGCACTTAGTGCGCCCTGCCCCCGCCAATAGCCCCTGGAACTCCCCTCCAACAGCCTTGGCAACTCTCCTCATCCTCCTTCTATTCTACTCACCACAAAATAATGAGAGGTCGTCTGCAGCGGCTGCGCTCTCGGTCAAATGATTCAGGCCCGATTGGGAGGCAACCGCGTGTCGGGTGGTCTGATGGAGTAGCCTCGTCCTCTTCCTCATCATCCTCCTTCTCCTCCCCTCAATATCCTCCTCCTCCTCCTCCTCCTCCTCCTCCCCCTCCTCCTCCTCCTCCTCCTCCTCCTCCTCCTCCTCCTCCTCCCCTGGGCCACACGAAAGGGACAATCTCGCGCGCAGGATCTCCAACCCCAGAGATGCCAGAAAGTCTCAGGCGGAAAGGGCTAGACCACCTCAAGTCACAATATACCCAAATCAAGCGTGCGTGCTGTGTCTCAGGCGAAGCGAGCTGGAACACCTCTCGCGCGACATCTGGGAACTCAAGGTTGCGAAGATGCTTCAGGCGAAATGGGCCGGACCACCTCAGACCAGATCGTATCGGACCACGTAGAGGCGAGGATCTTGGACGAAACGGGCCCAGACACCTCAGAATTTGCGAATGTCTTGATGCGCAGGTCCTGGGGGCGGAATTGATTACGATGTACCAAGACGACCCAAGAGGCCCCCACGACTCCCCCACGAGGCCCCATGAGGCCCACCCAAGATGGCCCAAGAGGGCACCCCCAAGACGGCCCAAGAGGGCACCAAGATTGCCCAAAGGGCGCCGAAGACGGCCCAAGAGCGCCCCAAAACGGCTACAAAATGGGCCCAAGAGGGGAAGCACGAACCGACAATTCGAGCCTTCCGCCCCAAGAGGCCCTCTGGAGGCTTCAAGATAACCCAACAGGCTTCCAACAGGCCCCCGAGAGGCTCCCAAACGACCCTCTAGAGGTCCAAAAGCTGGCCCAAGACTGCCCAGATGAAGTCCGTGAGAACTCCTCACGAAGTGCAGACGAAAGGTGTCACATGTGACGGCGTTCCTTCTCCTCCTCCTTCTTCGCCTCATCCGCGTCATCCTCCTCCTTCTCATCACTGTCATCACCCTCACCATCACCATCACCATCGCGATAATCGTAATCATCACGATGATCATGAGCATCATGAATATCATCATCATCCACATCATCCTCATCATCATCAGCATCATCATCAGCATCATCAACATGTTCATCATCATCATCAGCATCATCAACATCATCATCACCTGTATCACCATCCGCATCATCAGCATCAGCATCATCATCACCATCATCTCCAACATCACCATCACAATCAGTATAATCCACTGAACTCGCCCTCATCTTCATTTCGCCACCACCGTCACCAACGCCATCATCACCAGTATCCTCCTCCTCATCATCATCATCACCCTCGCCCCTGATAGGCTCACGGACTTCGAACACGCACCGACTCAGACTGCCGGGGTGTCACACGTGACGGCGACAAAAACCTTGCACCCAAAACATTCAAAGACGGCCATACGGAAAGCGCGCCACGTGTTACGGCTTTATGGAGACCAGAGATACAAGATGTCACACGTTGGGGCCTCCGTGCTCCCTCGCGCACAGACCACCGAAGAACAACTGGGCTGGCACGGTGAGGTGACTTGTCACACGCAGCTGGATTAGTCATCGCCAGTCCCGGAATCTGGCGGATGTTTCGGGCAAGCTGTGGTCGAACGCCTTTCGTGCGGCATCTGTGCGAGAAGTCGCGAGGACGTCTCTGGCGGAACTTGCCAGAACACCGCAGATCTCGTCATGTCCGAACACAACGTGTAAGACGTCTCAGGCGAAACTGGCCTGGCCACTACACAACCTTGAGCATGTCTCTACGCGCGGGTCCCTGGGGCGGAACCACTTCTGACAACAACAATGCCCCCTGGCACTGGCTTGGCAACCCGGGAATACTCCACATCAAAAAATATTTGACGGGAGCGAAAGAGAAGCTCCCACCTGGCATCGGCGATGCATCACCAAAAGGTCGGAGATAAACCCCCGATGGCGAATCCGAACGTTCCTGGGCGCGGTGGGCTATCGGGCGCCGATGCATCCACCATGAGCCCAATTCCCCCCTCGCGTTGCCCCTGACCAATCTGGGACGCACCCATGGGCCCGAAGGCTGGTGGCGGCGCCAGCCCACCACGGGTCGCAAACTGCTGACCCTGCGCCCCAGGGCGCCGACAGGACGGCCGTCGCACGGCGGCGGCGGCGGCGCACGCCCGCGAAGAAAATCCATGCCGCGGTGCCCCGCGACCGGCGGGGGTCTCGTGCCAGGCCGTGTTTGCTGCGGGCCGCGGCAAGAGTCGCGCGAAGCTCTGTCGGCACGTTCCCTGGCCCCTCCGTTCGTCCGTGCACAAGCCGCGGGCCATGATGAACACCTCTAGCGGCGCCTCCAGCCCCGCTCCTAGCGCGCTTCGCGCGCCAGCGGAGGGGGGTCCAACGCCGACTCTAGATGTTCGCTTTGACCTCCGACAAAATATGCGCATGCACTTTTGTGCTGTTCGAGTGTGCGCCGCGGCCCGCGAGGAGAGAGAGGGAGGCAGGAGCAAGAGCAGGGGAAGGGGTAACAGGCTCGCACTGACCTCGGCTGTTGTGGGTGTGGGCGGGGGGGGGGATGGAGGATTGGGGATTCCATTTGTCGATCATCCTCATCCTCATCCTCCCTCACCTCCACCTCGGTCCTCATCCTCCCGTTCCTCCTCCTTCCTTTTCGGCTCGCGCGTCTCTGACATCCATGTCGAACCAGCACAACACAACCCCCGATCGGCAGACGTGCATCTGAAACAACAGTTAGCACCACAGCACCGTCGCAACATGCGCGAAATAGCGTCGCAATCCCCGAATCATCTTCGTGTAAGTCCTCTAATCATGAGAATGCTCACTCAACCTCACCAAATACTTGAGAGCACACGCGGTTATTCAAGCATCAGGCCCAAAGAGGGCCCCTGGAGGCCTTCTCTTTACCTCCTCCGTCTCTCCTCTCTCTTTCATCCTCCTGTGCTCACGTTCTTTCTCCCTCTCTCTCTGTCTCTCTATTACTCCATAGTGTGTGTCTTCTAAGGGGGTCCACAACGGCTGGGGGAGCACATGGTCAACTACATAGCTTGGGCAGACTTGGGCCGCACGTTTGGTCTCATTGGCGATTGAAGCAATTCAAATATTCTAGCTGACGCAGTTGGGTGGGTCGGGGTAGGAAGTTTGGATCCAGTTGATGCTTGTTTCTGCTGCTGCCCCCATTTTCACAACGAGCACTGATGTGTGCCAGCTCAATTTAATAATCCAGCAGGATGCGCCCCCCCCCGCGAGGGGGAGTTGAATCCTAGATTCCAAACCACTCCGAATTCTTCCTCTGGCCACAAACTTACATTGAAAACCATGCTCGTCACGGCGATGAAAGACATGAAGTGCAACCCGACTTTCATAATTCCGTCCAATGAAAGTATGCGGCGGTACCCGTGAGGATCATGATAAAACGCATTTTCGCGTTCGACCGGGGATGGGAGGAAAGTTACGTAAATCTCCCCTCCTCCCCAGTGTGATGGGAGGGAGCGAGGAGCTTTCCCACCCCAATCTAACCCACCCACCCTCTCACGCAGGCAATCGACGACGACGCTTTACGACAGACTGGCTGACCGACCGACAGACGACTCCTACAACCACAACTGCGACTGCCTCTGCCGCTGCCACTGCGACTGCGGCTGCAACGACAATGGTGGCGACGACCGACAGCGACGACAACGACGACGACGACCACGAGGACGACGACGACGACGACGACGACGACGACGACGACGACGGCGACGACGACGACGACTACTACGACAGATGACGACGACGGCGACGCCTGACTGGCTTGAATGGCCCGCTCGCCCGCCCGCTTTCGCGTCCCGCCCGATGGCTTTGATGTCCCACCCGCGCCGCGGCTGGCGGCCGTCGCGGCTGCCGCCGCCGGTCGCCGCAAATGTCGTCGACAACGTCGTCGTCATCGGCCTTAATGTAGCAAGCCGGGCGCTGCGATCTGATGCTCCCCCCTAACTCCAGAAAGCAGAAATCGGCGACACGCAAGAATGACCCTGGGTAAGAAAGACCTTTGGATGGCGGATTTTTGGGTGCCGCGTGGGGACCAAACCTTGGCGCGCAAGCCGTTGCTCCTGCTTCGTTTTCAGCCATCTGGGGACCCATCTGTGCCCGCACCAAAGGTCACTCCGGCGAAAGGTCACTCTTACGTCTAGTCGAAGTAACGGCCCACCCGGCGAGCGGCCCGGCTAGCTGCTCGCGCGGACCTCAGACGCCATCTGACGCCGGGCCCGGGACAGCAGGTCGTAGTCCCAGTGGTACAAGGCACGTATGCGGGCCTCTAAAGGAGCCAAAACGCCACAAACAAAAACTTTCGGAGTTCCGCGCGGATTTCTCGGTTCTTCGCTGAACCCTATCTCCCTGTCGAGGGGAGGGCGCGCCAGGGGCGGCGTATGAGTCGCCGCGCGAAGCCCCGAAAGTTCATGCTTATGCAACTGTTTCTTCTTCGAGGCCTCGAGCTGCGGGTCCGCCCGCACGCGCGCGACCTCCACGAGAAGGTCGTCGAGCTCGACTCCAGAGCCGCCGTCCGTCCAGAAGGCGCCCGCCTGGCGCGACTCCAGGTGGGCGTTCCGCAGCGTGCCAGCGGACTCCATTGCGAACGGGCCATCGCGCACGCTCCTGGGGGTGCCAAACAGGGACTGGTTCGAGTGTGGCCCCCAGCCTTCATGCAGCATGTCCTGGATCCCCATCAGCATGCCCATGCGGTCAGCATCCTCTTCCAGGTTACTCATGAAGCCGATGAAGTCGTACTGGCTGAGCGTCTGCGACAGCCCGCACAGGTAGCTCTGTGGCCGAAAGTGAGGGTCGGTGTTCTCATGCAGACCCTCACTCTCAAGCACGGAGACAAATCGATCTATCGGTAGATTGCCCGCCCATGAAGGGTACGTCTGAGAGAACCACTTATTTATTTTCTTGACCTTGGAGATGTAGGCAGATATGAACCTTTCCACAGGATCACGCAGAAAAACTGATTTTGTCCACGTCCTATTGCGTAAGATCCCTTCTAGGACGTGGCTATCACCATCTCCGAAAAACATGTCCTCTCGGGCTGTGTCATAATGAACAAGAGTCTGATGTTTACCATGTGCAGGGGGATTCCAATGTTCTGAGCTCAGGCCGTGCGCCCTCATCATCAACGCGAGGAATTCAGAGCACGCGTTTTTCGGAATCATGCAAAACAAAGAATGCCGTGGCTCTGAGTGGAGCAGCAACCATGGTGAAAAATGGACGTTGGACCATGCCTGGGCGCTCAAAGTGAATTTGGGATCACCTGCCGCAAGCAAAGTAGACGACGCTGTCCGGACACCACAAATAACAAGATATCCGCCACATTGCCATTGCAGCCACGGATCGAGTCGCGAAATCGCAAGTCGGATCGCGCCGAACCGAAACGCCAACGGATCGTCCCGAATCGAATCGATATCAGATCGCTGCGCTCAACTCCAACTGGCGCTGGCCGACGCTGGTAGACCGAACCGAATCGAATCGGAATCGAATCGCACCGCATCGGAACGTACGTGGCTCTGCTTTCCTGGCATGTTAAAGCGCATGGAATGCCAGGTGCTGTCTGGCGGTGCTCCTGCCTGGAAATACACGGGTGTTCGCACTGAGGGCCGCAAGAGTGCATGGCTGACCACTTTCACCACCTCCAATCCACTCGAAAACCCGAGTGGCTTGTTCATGCGTTCATTGCCAGAGCGGCTGCGAAATGCCACGACACACAACGGTCCAGACCGACATGGGTATCAATGACCTGCAATTTCTACGAGACCCCTCCTGCTTGCACCCGCCCGCCCTCCTCCTCCTCCTTCTCCTCCTCCTCCTCCTCCGTTCCCTCATCTACCTCCTCCTCTGCTTCCTCTGCTTCCTCCTCCTCCGCCTCTTCCTCCGCCTCCTGCTCCCTCCTGCTCCTTTCCCTCCTCTACCTCCTCCCTTTCTCCCTCCCTCTCCATGTTCAATTACACAACATGATTTCTACTCTCCTCTCCCCTGATGACGTCCGGAAGATATCCGGCCCCCCTCCGCGTACTGCATTTTCACACTAGATTCCCGGGAAATGAGTTGTCGTTTGTTTTTTGTTCACAATGCTTCTCCCTCTGAAGCGCTGGCCACATTTTCGGGCTTCCGCTCGTTCCGAATCGTGCTCCCGCTGCAGCGCTGGTCTTATTTCCGCGCTTCCGCTCGTTCCGAATCGTGCCCGTGCTGCAGCGCTGGCCTTATTTCCGCGCTTCGCGCTCGCGCTTCGTGCTCTGCGCCGTCGTCCTCACCTGCCTCTTCCTCCTCCTGCTTCTCCTGCTCCTCCTGCTCCTCCTCCTTCTCCTCCTCTTCCTCCTCCTCCTCATCCTGCTCCTCCTGCGCCTCCTGCTCCTCTTGCTCCTCCTCCTCCTCTTGCTCCTCCTCCTCCTCTTGCTCCTCCTCCTCCTCGTCCTCCTCGTCCTCCTCCTCACCTTCCCACTCCTCCACGAACCGTTCTGTGTTGCCCCCCAGCCCCCCCCCAACAAAAAAAAACACAACAAATGATCATGGCGAAAGGCCGAACCAAATGCGGTTGTGAATACCGCGTTGTGGATACCGCTTTCGGTGGAGCTCCCCATGGGGCCACGAACTTTGTGAGGGGTGTGCCGAAATGGGCGGGGAGGAGCATACGGACCCTGCCACTGGGGCCTTCGGTGGACCTCACTATGGGGCCACGATGCTCGTGAGGGATGTGCCGACAATAGCGGGGGGGGGCGCATGCGAACCCTGCAACTGGGGCCTTCGCTGGAGGTCCCTGTAGGGCCGCGATCCCCGTAAGAGGTGTGCCGAAATGGCCGGGGGGACGCATGCGGACCCTGCCTCTGGGGCCTTCGGTGGATGCCACGACCCTTGTGAGGGGTGTGCCGAAATGAGCAAGGGGACGCATGGGGACCCTGCTGCTGGAGCCTTTGGTGGAGCCCCCTGTAGGGCCACGATCCTCGTGAGGGGTGTGCCGAAATTGCCGGGGGGCGCATGCGGACCCTGCCTCTGGGGCCTTCGCCGGAGCTCCCTGTAGGGCCGCGATTTTCATGAGGGGTGTGCCAGAGTGGGCGGGGGGCGCATGCAGAACCTGCCATTGTGGCTTTCGGTGAAGCTCCTTATGGGGCCACGGTCCTCGTGAGAGGTGTGCCGAATTTGCCGGGGGGACGCATGCGGACCCTGCCTCTGGGGTCGGTGAAGGCCACGACCCGTGTGAGGGGTGTGCCGAACTGGGCGGGGGGCGCATGGGGACCCTGCAACTGGGGCCTGTGGTGGAGCTCCCTATAGGGCCACGATCTTCGTGAGAGGTGTGCCGAGATGGGCGGGGGGACGCATGCGGACCCTACCACGGCCTTCGCTGGAACTGATTGTGGGGCCGCGATTGCCGAAATTGCCGGGGGGACGCATGCGAACACTGCCACTGGGGCCTTCGGTGGAGCTCCCTCGGGGGTCACGATCCTCGTGAGGGGTGTGCCGAGGCAGAGCGTGCGGAAGGCACAGGCGATGTGGAAGGAGTGAGGAGGGAGGGGGGCGAGGAGGAGTGAGTGGACGCTGGGCGCTGTCTCTTCCAAACAAACACCCAACTCAACACAATATGGCTGATAACGTAGGGCAACAGGTTGTTGCACATTGTTTCCTTGTTTCCTGGGGTGTGAAGAGCTGAGCAGATCTGAGCAACGCTTGCCACGGCGGAGCAAAGTCCATCAAGACTGAATAGGGTTTGTCAAGGCTTGCCGAGCTTAGCTGGGGTTAGCAAGGCTTGCCATGCTTTACTTGGATTAGCCGAACTTACCAGGACACAACAACACTCACTACGGCCTAGCAGGGCTCAGTCGGGCGTACCAGGACTTGGCAGGGTTTAGCAGAGCTAGTATTTCCTCTGAGAATCTGGGTAAGATGACAGAGGAATTAAGATCTCGTGTTCACTCTGCTCAGTGGTAGAGGGTACGGGACGAGACATCGATAAGACAAGTATCCGGTAGGCGAATGCACTCTATCAGGAACAGGAATGGTGGAGGCGGCTGGCCGACAACCGACGAAGTGCGACGGCCGAGGGCGGGCGCGCTCCTTTGATCTCCTGTACGCTCGCGCGTAGCTTGAGTACAATACAGCTACAGATAGTCACACATTGCGCAGCAAAGCAAATGGTGTGAAAAGCAGCAAGCAGATGAGGCGGAGAGGAGCGCACTCACTCCCCCCGCGGCGGGCCACGTAGAGCCCATCCAGCCACAGCGCCCCTGGCCTGTACATATGTACAACCACCGGAGCCAACCGCAAAAAGACTTTTGCAGCTCAACGGTGGCTGCCAGGGGGCTAAGGACCGAAGAGGCCCGACGCTTCCCACCCTTAAATAAACAAATTCTCTTCGCAGAATCGGCTTCACCGATCGGCAGAGCTGCTTTGCTCGTCCGACACGACTTCGTCGCGCGGCGAGAATTTTCTTGCTTGCGCCTGCGGCGACTCAGTCACGCGGGCCGGACTCAAGCCAGGTCCTCGAACGGGTTGTAGTCCCCCGTCGGTGGCGTCGGAGGCCTCGGGTTCGATGGCGCCGAGCCCCCAGGTCCCTCGCCGCCGCGAGGCGATCGGGACCTTCCTTTGCCACGGCCAGCGTAGCATGCTGCTCTGTAGTGATTGTCCTTGTTCTTGGACGCCTTCCCCTCTTCGGCGGGCAGCGAAAGTCATGTTCAAATAGAGACAGTGCGTGCCACGTCTGCGACCGCCAGACATCGTCGGGCAGCCATGAGATCCGATCCCCATGGACGTAGTACCCAACCTGCACATTGTTTGCGTAGTGCGGGTATGAGACGAGCGGGTCGTAGCCGGCAGCGCCGCGGCCGACATCCATGGCTCCATCGCGCGCGCGCTGGGGCCTCGACCAATCCCATGTGTCAGAATACCACGAGTATTCTTCTCTCGCCGTCGCGGCTGTGCCGGCGGCAGAGCGTGGGGATTCGGTAACTTCGTCGCCGGCCCGAGCGTCTGAGGCGTCGGGTCTGCGCGGCGGAGGTGGCAGCTGCGGCCTGGCTTTCGCCGCATCCTGTTCTCTCATCGGCCCCGCGGAATCAGCTTGGCTGCCGTGGGGCGGATTGGCATTTCTTCTCTCGCGAACGTTCTGCTCCCGATCGCGAATGAATTTCAGCAAATTCCTAGCAGCTGTAGCTACTGGGATGCCAAATTTTCCGCATGCAGTGCGGAACGGGCCTGCGCTCTTATCTTCAAGCTCCGTATCGGCATCGATGTGCCTGTTTTGATGCCAAGAAATGGCCTCTTGTAATAATGCGCCCTGACGACGAATGTCGGTTCGTACTTGTCTACCTAAATTAGGGGCCCACTCTTCTATGAGGTCGCCCGTCTGAACCGCAGTGCGAATGCGACAGTCGAGGGCATATTTATCCCTCCGTCGCCTAAAGTGAACATTGTCTGTGCTCCCTCTCGCGGTGCGAATTACTCGCACCGGGAAGCCGACAAAGTATCCATCTGAAATGAAGGAGCTCTTGATCTCGCGAACGATAGCAACGATTCTTATAATGCGAAGACCAAGTTGCATTTAGTGTACAGGGGCCATCCAGTTCCCTTCAACTATGTTCTCCACAATATGTGGGACCTCGTGTTCAATTTCCCCTGGCAGTCGCAATCTGTCGGGATCATTGGTGTTTGAGCGAACACTTGTGCATTCAACGACATATTGGGCTGCAATCGCCCGAGCCTCTATCCCGTGTGAAGATATATGTATGGA